AACAATTTGGGGGGGAATTCCCCCCCCCCCCCTTTTTTTTTAAATTTTTTTTTTTTTTTTTTTTTTTTTTTTTTTTTTATTCACAGCAGCTACAGACAATGCTTTAAGCTGATTTATAAACAGGCAAAAGTCACACGCCGACAGAACATATGCATTCTTGATGTGATAAACGCAGAAGAAAACATGCAAAAAAAAAGAAGCTCTTCTTGTCTTTCACCATACCTCCTGCACGCACCTGAGGTGTAACGGCAGCCATTTTGTGTCACTTCACACTAAGCGTGGTTTCCAAATTTGTCCCTGAAACTCCTGGGACCTCTCAGAGTGATTGTGTGTGCAGCCTGCCTCTGTTAACTGCTACAGTAGGGAAAGCCTCCAGACAAAACTCAGTGACCCCTGGTAAGAGAGTGGACCGGTTCCAGGTGCTTTCCTAAACTCTGTAGTGTTTCTTTCCAACAGCATTTGGCTGCAGTTCCCCTCTTCAAGCACTGAAGAGTGCTTATCAGGATGTTAAGCTCTGAGGCAAATGCTTGTAAGCAAAAAGTGTGCAGTGTCACCCAGATACTTTTAACCTGACTGGTTTTGTTCATCCGTGACGAAACTCTGCGCTGTTGTAGATCAGCACGCGCGCTTAAATTCTTTTGGATATGTATCACCAGGCAACGGCAGTTTTAAATATCCTATCTCAAAACACACTGCATTGATTTCTTTCACGATCAATTTATGAGAAACACCGTGTTGGTTCTCAACGCAGAAAAGTTCTCCTTTCCTGCCATCTGATCTTTGAAAGATCTAAGGTCCAATCCAAGTACTCGAGAGCTATAATCCTGCAACTTTTAGATGCAGCTCTTCTCCAACACACCTCAAATGAACTGCTAGTTACCAGGGCTCTACAGTGCTGAATGACTGCTGGTGAGGAGATTTGACTATTTTATTCATGTGTATTTGAGTATTGATGCGTCTAAAAGTTGCAAATTGGTACATCCGGACTTGGGCGTTCTTGGACAAAGGCATTCACATTGAGAGAGGTGGGTGTTACGCACCGCTTTAAAATGCATTATTGTGTACGTCTTTCCCAGGGGCAAAATGGGGTTGTTCTAGGTCAAGCGACGCAAAAAACACAGCAAACTACAAAACATGCTGTCCTGGTTATTGCTTATGCTGTAAGATACACAGCTTAAGTTGAGAATTGCTCTGAACGTCTTGCATCTCAAGTGGTCAATAAAGTTCAAACTGACATCCTGTACACCCAAATTCTGTCAAGATATCTGGTGCTCGAAGAAATAACTAAATCATTTGGTTGCAAGCGGTATTGAAGTACCACTACAGTAACACAGCTCTGAGCAGCCAACAAGGACAGTGGTGTAATGGTCAGATTTTGAAAGTGTGAGGTAACTTTGTGGTTAGAGAGTGATGACAATCTGTCTATAAAACCAGCTGGCAATGAAATTGAAGGTAAAAATGTAATGCACTCAATTGGTGGAGACAAGCTCTTCTCTACCACCAAATAGCTTGGCGACTCAGAACTGTATTCTGACGGAAGT